GATGTAGGTTTTCAAATTCTATTATGCCATTCCAGTGTATAAAAACCAAATCTCAACATTCTTACTGACTAAATATTGGCAGTACTGTCTGTATGCAGATGCTGGAAGGATATCTGGAATAGATTATCAACTAACTTTTAGAAATAAATAGAGCATGCACCATTAATATTTCACATTGAAGTGAATGTTTTATATGGGCATCTTGAACAACTGAAGAACTTCTCTAGTTATAGAAGTCAGGGTGGGAGAATGTTCTGCCTTATCTACTCATTAGGGCTACTAATTGACCTATATGTGCTTGAAATACTGTCCTAAATTCTATCATACTTTCTTCCAGTGGAACAGCAGTAACAGCGAACCCTTTTTTCTGAAATGCAGCAGAATTTTTTTCTTTGTATAGGGATAACAGCAACATTCCACTTGCCTTGTGAAGAGGCGAGGGGATAGTAAGTCTGAGTTCATTGCATGACATTTGTGTGCAACTACTTGATTAGCAAACTGAGTTCCCAACGTCTTTTTGCTCTCCCAAAGCTGTGGGTCATTGGGATGGTGCCCTCAAAGCAGTAGATTTCAGGGAATTTAATGTAAAAGAACTCCAATTTCTAAGAGCTATTTCAAGCTGCTGACAACCTTCATTATGTGTGGATCAATCAAGTTGCTCTTTTTTCTTTAGAAACATTCCAGTGAAGCTCTACTTTTTAATTCAGCACTAGACTTGCATTCTTTTGTTCTGCCTTCAGGCTATTAAAATACACTTATTGCTAACTCACTCAATGTAATACAGTTGTTTTTACTAGTGAACTCACGTTCCTAGACTAGTTGGGAAGTTTGGCTGCTTCAACAAATTTAGTCTTGCACTCTTGACTTGTGTATACCCTCTCGATTAGTACTAGCACCAGCTGAAACAGTCAGATTTAGTAGAGCTTTGTATAGTGTTTGCAAATGACTGAATGGTATGTGATGCAATAGAGACTGAAGTTTTGAGGCATATTTCAAGCTTCAGTGAAGTTGAAACAGACAGATGGGTTTGTGCTGCCAGTTTTTTGCTATTTAACCTTGACTTCTGTCCTTTGACTCCACGTATTCTAATCCCTGCAAACTGAATTAGTGAAGTGTCAGATGCAGGTGGTAAAAAGAAACCCTAATACCAAAAAAAATAACTGGATTTATTGTTGGTTATAGGACCGTAACTATCAGGCTTTCTTGCTCCAGTTCGATGTTCTTTGTGTTGTGTTTATTATATCTTCATCAACTCAGCACAAATTGTAGCTTATTGATCTCTTGCAATATGAATATGTGATAGAACTCTGTGCAAGTTATTGTTACATAATTTTTGATGAGTCATTTCCTGAACATAATTAGGAATAGAGGGAATTTTGAAGAATTAAGATGAAGTGTTTAAGAAACATAGCAAATACAGGAAAATATTTTTCATTAACACTGCAGTAGCCTTAAGCTTAAAGAAAACGTAAGCCCCTTATATTCTAAATATTGTAATTGCACAATAGGTTGTTGATTAAGTTTAAACTAGATTAGAGTTGCATTTTTAATTATTTCATATTCTTAAGCTTATTTTGGGTATAGCTTCTCTATCCTTCAGAACACTTTCTGAAAAGAGTATAAAGGTAGTGACATACACTTAATGACTCAGTGAGCTAGGGCATAAAGTTGAAACACACAAAACCTTGTAAATGTCTATGTAGATAGCCTTACCTTATGGTAAATGTTTTAAGTACAGGGTAGGTTAACACTTAAAAAATCATTGCTGAGAGTCAGGCTGGCTAGTTCTCCCTGTTAAATCTGTCTTTCTTTCTCAGGTTGTTATCTGGCACAGAGAAATTCAGTTTGGGAGTGACGGACAACTGGGAAAATTGGGTCTTTTTAACTCTTGAAGGGAATATTGAGCTTAAAGCAAAACTATGTATGTGTGGACATATTAAGTCAGAAAGAAAAACTACATTTCTGTAAATAAATGGGATCTTTTTTTTTTTTCCCGAAAAGACTGTAGGTGTGTTCACCTGGCCAACTGCGGTATCATGAAGAGATACTTAAGTTGCGTCTCAGTGATAAAAAGCTAGAGTCTGTTAGTTTTATAAGGATGAAGACTGTATCTGATGAAACTGGCATAAATTGTGACTGGGAACCTATTCTTTCTTTCTGTCTAAGTATGAGATTTTGAGTTGGAAGAAAAATATATCTGTAAGGGTCAAACCTGAACTGTAAGATTTAAACATGCTTGTGTTAAGAAGAAAAGTAATCAGAAAAGTGGCTGTAAACCTCTTATTTGACAAGTCATTCCTGTTATCTATCTATATAGCAACATTTATTTCGTGACAATGTTTCTTGCTCTTTCTTTTTCCTCATATTTGTACTGTAGCACCTGTTAAGCTCAAATTTATTTGAATTCCCCTGTACTGTTGTAATAGAATTATTAGCTAAAAATCCTGATGTCTTCTCTGTGCTATACCTTTTAATGTATTTTGTGTAATCTGGTAGACTTTCAAATCGAAATGAGGTCAGGATTTGTCTTGCAGAGTTTGTAGCATTTGTGATAAATTGGCCAGAAATTACAAAGCTTGACCCTGAAATTCTAAGCTGATGCAGAGCTCTAACTTAAGTGTAAACTGAGGAAATTTGGCCTGTAATCATTGATTCCATTGAAAAAAAATATTTTTTTTTTTTTGTAATTGAACCAAATAATTTGATTTACGTGTGCTATGAGGCTAAGCTCCCTGCTTCCAAGACTGGGAGGTGGAGATGAGCATGCAGCACCAGATACAATAATGTTCTTCAGTACTGTAGTTTTCTGGCAACTTAGGCTGTATGGGTATGTTTTGACAAATGTGGAGTTAGACATTGGCATTCAATGAGGAAATGGCTTTATTTTCTGAGTAGATGGGAAATCTGAAATTTGCCAGAGAAGGATCTGAAACAATACTTTATACTCCAGTTTTGGGTATAAGTATATTGAAGTTTAGTTTATATTACTGACATCTCAGAAATGATGACCTGTAGAAGTATGATAATTGACTGTATTAGCTATGACAGCTACTCAAAACAGTAGAGTCTGCAGTCTTATCAAAAGAGGTGGCTAACTTTGAAAGGTTGAAACTTTAAAAGTTAATGTGTAACTTTCTGAAAGAGATGAAAAATATTTAAAAATTATTTTAGGACTTTGATAGAATAATTTATTAGTATTCTTGAAAGCCTTTACACTTTATAAATGAATACTTTGTAAATATTTTTTATGTGAGCATACTCATTTTTCTGGTATTTTACATGATCTAAAATCTTTCAAGACAGAAGAATGGGGAAACTTATTTTACTAGTCTTGCAGGTGTTATCTTTGTAAAAAATTAAAGCTAATACCAGATTTCTATACACAGATGAAGCAATCTTCAATCAAATCTCAGTTTGCATGTACATATAAAAATGAGTTGAGTGAAATTAAGGGTCAGCATTTCCTCAGCAGTAACCGAATTCCAACCTGCACACGTTCTTCACCAAAGCAACATTTAAAAGCTGGATATCTCACAGGTAAGCTGTAGTAGGATTGAATATGTAAATGTGATACCTGGTATTTCAAATGTTATCAAACAAGGCTTTAGTAATACTCAAGAATAAATATGTTTTCAAGAAAAAAAGATGTCTCATTGCTCTGTGTATGCTATGATCAGTTAAATATCTTGACATTAAAATTGTAATGCTAGTGCTTTGAAAATGTAAATGTTTGAAAAATATGTATTGATGTTATCTTGAGGTAAAAAATTAATACATTTTGCATACAGTAAGTAATGTTTCTTCTTATTTTACAAAAGTAAGCTAAGTGAAATTTCTGGTTTTGCTATTCAAAAAAGGGAAAAAAAAATTGGTTTACTTCACTATAAACCATATCATGTATATAATTTCTAGGCTCTTTAAGCATCTTTTCCAGTATCTTAAAGTTATAAATCCACTTCCTTAAGTTAGTTGCTATTACATGTTTTTGAGCAATGTCATTTTAAATTGGCAGTATACTTATGAACACATAGCAAATGTAACTGCAATGACCAGCATAGTCTTGTTTTACTGATAATGCACTAGTTTTGATTAAAAGAAATCATCCTCTGATAGAAAAAGGACAAATAATGCCAGGTAACTTTTTATTTCTTCAAATATGTTTTTTGATATTCTTACATGACAGAAGGTATGAATTCATGTCTTCATGTACCAGTGCTTGGAAATATTTCTGAAAATGTTCACCAGACTAAAAGTTATACAGAAATGGGAAAGCGGAGTTGGCAGCCAAGGAACAAGAACTCCAAGAATGAACAGATGGATTTGAATAATGACAAAGTAATCTGTGATAAGGAAAATGAACCATCTTTGCAAAAAAGTGCTAAAATACCTAAGACTTCAAACAACCTTCAAAAGGAATTGGACAGCAAAATCAGTGGAAAAAGAAAGCACAGCAAAACTGCAAGCAAGAATAAGTTGATTGCTGGTCAGGCAAAATTAACGGACTTTTTTCAACTCTAAGTTTTTGTTTTGACATACATGGTACGTTGACTGGTTCAGAAGTTGTAAAATTTTGTGAGAAAAGAGTGAAATTCATTACTTCCTTCCATACTCAAATAAGCAGAAGTAGCTTGTGTGTAATATTAGACAAACACTTACAAGTTTGGATTATGCAGAAGTCTTTTATTTTTTGATAATACATCATTAGTAATTACAGCTATGTTCTTTTTTGGTAATGAATTATGTTTCCCTCTACAGTATCACAGGAAAGTATTTTTGGATGCATATATATAGCCACACTAAACCACAGTAACTTCAAATTACATTAAAATCATAATAAAATTTTTAATCTTCAAAGAAGGTGGTGTAGCATCATTAGTTTTCAGATTTGCCAACAAGGCCGATAGACTCTTCCCAGCATACACCTGAGCACTACAGGAAAAAAAAAATCTGGAAGTTTAATTATCAAATAACTAAAATTCTTTATGGCCTGTGGAAATGCTAGTTTAACAAATGCTTCCTCCCCATGCACCAAATCACGATAGATGTAAACTGGAAATGCAGTATTTCATCAGCCCTAGGAAAATGCAAGCATCACATGAAGTTTCTAAATATGAACCTTTATCAAATTGCATTATAGACATTGCATTATACTTTACCAGAATGAAATAGTTTTTGTGTAAAAATGAAAATATACTTACTGTCAAAATCCCTTCTTCCTATAGGGAATTTAGCTGAATTTTCTTCATCTGCAGTCTCTCTTTTCTGTATTGATTCAATATTTCGAAGTTCAGTGTCAGCTGGAAAAGCCATGGCCCCCTTCAGTGCAAGATAAGGTAGTTGCTTTCTACTTAAGTTGATTGGCATAACATGATTTAAGAAATCATGTCTGGAACCTGTGTCCTGTTTTAAAGGAAAACAAGAATAGCAGTTTAAATAAAGTCAGTTGTGTTCAGTTTTTATACTTGACTTTTTATACTTTGCAGTGAAAGTATTTTATCTTTCAAGATGATATTTTAAAAGCAATGATGTGCATTACATCCTTGGCTGAATTGGTTTTATGGTAAAGAACATGATACAATAACGAGTCTTATATTTGGTGAAGCTAAAAACCTGTTGCTGAGTATCAAACATAAATATAGGCTTTTTTCCCCACAAGTTTTGGCTACATATAATTCTGTAAAACTTGGATTTCTATTATTCAGCTGTCCAAGTTACACATTTAAAATCTTCAAATTAGATACTTACAGTTGAAAATTTATTCTTGACTGTAGTACGCTAAACTGATATTTTTGTATATTCTACAGGTTAATGCTTTAAATTATTGTACTTGTTTTCCTAAAGGCCTATGAAGAGAATTTCCATTTTACAGTTAAGCCAAAATCTAAAACTGAAAACTCACCAAAACCTTCATGTTCCCATCATCCTCTTCATCCAAAACACTGCTGTCTTCAGTCTTATAATGCTTCAGCAAAGGTATAGCTCCTCTGTTCACAGTTCTATCTCCATTTCGAAGAGTTTTTCCTAGCTTTAATGTGGTTAGCAACATATCTTCATCTTCTACCTTTTGCAAAGATTTTGAAACTGAGAGTAGGAAACCTTGAGAAAAGAGAGAGAGAGAGAGAATTAACATGTATGATGAGATACACATTCTTAGTTACTTAACGCTTGTATAGAAGTTAAGCAGTTTTCAAATTTTAAGAAAGCTTTTCCAGTTGTAAATTAATATGTTCTCCATCTGTGCCCACTTTATATATATTACAGATTGAATGGAAACTACTTCAATGGCTGATGAGTTCACTCTTTTAAAATGACTCATATTGAGGAGTAACCTTTTCTATAATCCTTCTAATCCCATCTGTTGCTTAGAACTACTTAAACATTTCTTTAGCATGGATAATTTGTTTCTTTGTATTTTTTTAAAACAGCACAGATTAGTTCCTTTTGATGGATCAGTATAACAAAGTTCACAGAAAAAGTGATGTCCATTTGTGTTATTTATAAAGCCTTGCCTCCAGTTAAGGCAAGTTAAGAAAAGGAACTAATCTACATAAGTAAGCAGGACTGTTGTAAAGGTGAGCTCTACCACAGTTTTTGATCAAAACTGATTCACTAAAGAGTTGAAAAGCTTGCAATTTAACAATGGCTTAGACTGCTACTACGTTAGAGCTGAAATCATTAATTTATATTTCCATGTCCATTATGTCAGGTTACATTATTCAGAGCTTATGTCTAGAGATCTTTATTAATACCTAAATAATTATATTTGTCTGCATTTTCTTTTTGAAAATCGACCTTTCCCAAATACAAATATAATATAGTCAGATATGCTTTCTAAGAATGTAGAAAGAAAAGTAAACTTCAGTTTTTCATTTAAAAAGTCTTTAAAATGTAGGAGTTTCCACATAACGTTGTTTTGGTTTGGGGTTTTTTTGTTGGTTTTTTTGTTTTGGTTTTTTTTTTACTTTATCTGGAAAGCAGATGGGACCAGCTCAAATCTAGCTGATCTCTTAATGTCAGTGATACAAACAATTCAGTGGCTGTGTGCCTCTTAGCTGGTTTCTACCTCCTAAATTCATGTTTGTTTTAACCTTTTAAGTTAGTGCAGGGAACCAAACATCCTACTGGTCAATGCAAGCCACTAGGAAATTGACCAAGAAACTGACAAAGCAGAAAGAGTACCACTTCCCCCATGTTTCCCTCCCTCACTCTCCATTTTGCTTTTCCTGCTTTTCCTGTTATGTCATGCACTAGGATAAAATGTAAAATTATTAGCAAAAATAAATTCTAACTGTTCTTTTGGTTTTGGGGGTGGCTTTTTTGTACTGATTTTTCTGATGCTCTTCACTAGTGCCTACCACTGATGTGGAGTGAAGGAGAAAATAACATTGATAGATTGACATTTAATAATCTGGACAAGTCTACAACACATCAATGGTAGTCGCAGATAGCAGGTATACATTATGTCTTTATAGTTGTTACAAGAAGTCCAAGGAGGAAATGCGAGTGCTGCTGAGAGGTGTTGCATGCTCTTAGGGAAGTACAGAAAGAATGTCAATTCCTTCTGAAAACAGGCAATGGTACAACATGAATCCACAGACTGAGGATGTTACATAGAAGAACTGACCGGTGTTGTTGGAACTGTGGTATTTTTAATCACTGTTCACTGCTAAACTTCCCGGAAAAGACTGCCTTGCCAAAGTAACTTCTTGGTAAGAATTTTCATGGGAAAATATGTCCTGCTGGACTAAGCAGATTCTGACTAAGACACATTTTGGATATACCCACTTTGCCCCCAATGAGGAAAGTGCATTTAATTCTTTCTGGCCAGAGCATCTCTGACAAATAGAACTATTGCTTCTCATTCTTTTAATTTCCTTGCTGTAGAGCCTGTCCTTGCCTCTGGGCAATTGAAGTAGTTTCTTTTCTTTGTCTTTAATTGCCTGGCTACAAAGGAAACAAATTTGAAAGTCAATTGTATATGGTTTTATACTTCTCATCCAACCTCCCTTTGCTAATTTGTATTCTTCCCTCACATTTGGTATTTTGTACAGTTTTGTTCAATTAATATAACAAAAGCCATATATGCTCTGTAATGGTACTTTTTATTTAGTTCAGCCTAGGCAGAACAGGAGGAGTGCTTTGGAGCTGCCATTGGCAGCAAACCTTTCTCTTTGTATGTTGGTATGTGAGTTAAGAGTTGGGAAACAAACTAGCCACCCGGTAATTTTGTATGTGACAAGAGCTTCTGCTTATCTGAAGCTACAGTACCCACAGGTATGTAGCAGGGCTTGCTTTCAAGTGCTTTTCTTTCATTTAATACAATGGACAGTTAAAATAAGACCACTGACCTGAATCAAGTGGGAAGTCCATCTACAGTGTCTATTTAGTTGTCCACTGTGTCTTTAAGCTGATGTCTATGGAAGAATATAAGATTGGCAAACTTACGGTACTCCTTCCAGTATCCTCTAGTGCTTATTGAACTGGCTGTTAATTTTTAAGGATTTTTGAAAACCCAAGGTGGTACTAGTGATAGTAGAACCTCCTAGATTATGCCAAAATCAATAGCATATGTCTATAAATTCAGTGACTTTTCTGCCTGTTCAGAGCAGTAGATAACATTTTTACACCTGCAGATGTGCAATGCACTGTGTACATCTCTTCATGATACCTTTGGGAATCCTTACACCGATCTCTGCATTTTTTCCTTTTGATCTTGAAACTTGCAATTTTAGTAAAAATGTAAAATGTTTTAACATACCAGCTTCTATGTTTTATCATTGTTTGTCAAATTGCCTTTTTATTTTTATAGTAAATAATAACCTAGTGCTGCTTACAGAGCAATAACAGCTATGGTGAGAAACTCTTCTTGCTTCTACATTGCATCTTGTTACAATGAAATATAAACTCTTAACATCTGAGATCTGATGTGGTATATGTGAGTAAATAAAATTTAGGTGATAATGTGCCTGGAATTTTTCTATTACTCATTTTGAATTCTTCTAGGAATGGGTTATGAAACTATTGTAACAGTTTTATTTGGTCTTGCAACTACTGTAATTGCCATGTACAAGTGTTCGAGCCTGATGCCTAGTATTGACTGAACAATAAATAAACCAGGTGTATCTTACATAAAGCCAAATATTTTTTGTTACTATTATCAGAATTGGAAGTCTTTGCAATGCAAGAGATAGTGTTCAAAAAACCTTAACAAATCATTTTACTGAATCTTAAAATAGCACAAAAATACCTGGACAATGTTAATTTGCCCAGTAGCATACTACTACTGATATTAAAAAGCAGTGTTTTGTTTGTTTGTTTTAGTTTGGATCTTGTAAATTTTATATAAACAGCCATATTTCAGTCCTTTTTGAGTGTAGTTAGAAGATATTTGTCATTTGAACCAAGAGCCACATATACTGAGACTTTGGAAGACTGATTTAAAACCAAACCCACTCTTCATAATGTGCCTGGTCATTTGTGTGATCCTCTAGTAGCAGAGAAGGAAATGAAGACTGTCTTTCTGATCCCTACAGAATGTAAAAGCATGGAGTTATGTGCATGAGACATGTATTTCCAGGGCACTTAAAACAAGTTTTTTATTCCAAAAACCAGTCCATATGTAACTCTATTATGGGATTTCCAATTAATCAGTAAAGTAGGAAGAGGAAGGAAGACTCCACAAGCAATATTAGCTTCTTAATGAAGTAGTGGTGAGGGTGAACATGCTGTATAAAAAAGCTAGGCTACTAGGCAAAAATTGAATAGCAGAATTATAAATATTGACCTATTGATTGCAGAAGATTCAAATAAATTTTCATCTGCTATTAGATTCAAGATAAATCTGTAGGCAGAGAAGCTTATTAGTATCATAACCCAAGGAATAGCTTTGGACTTCAGAGCATAGGTGAAATCCTGTTGTCATTTTTTTTAAGCTTTATTAACCTCAGTTTGCCTTTAGAAGGCTTTGCTATGTCTGCCAGAATGCCTGGCCTTTGTGTATGTCTTTTTAGACTATTTGGTTTCTCTTCAGTCAACTGTACCTCATCAAACAAATTGTATTTTATATATCCATCTTTGCGCTTACATTTGTATTCTGTAAAAAGAGTTTGAATTATTCTGTTTTGATATAAGAACCTGCATTTCTTTGAGAAGTCCTTAGGGCACAAAATTATTGTGGATGAGCCACGGCCAATTTTTCTGAGACAAACCAACAGCAGGAACTTCCTTATAAGCATAATAAAGAGGCTAAGAAAGACTGGGCCCCTTTTCTTTGCTGGCAGATGAGATTTCAGCCAAGAAAAAACACAGGAAAAAGCAGGAGGTGCAACTGCAATTTTGAACTTCATTTGAGTACAAGGTATCTGGGAGAGGCCAGAAGCTGGCTATCTAGTGCAAGCCTGCTAGAATTCCTGTGATTTCTAGGCCTCACCATTACGGTTCATATGGTTTTGATAGTGCTGAGGCGAGTCATTTGTTTTGCCTAACAAATACTGAGGCAGGAGAATTCCTTTAGAAGTATTGCCTCTTGAAAGTGCTGGACTAGTGCTGCTGGACCAGTGCTACTGGAACCATTAGTAGATCAAGCCCTCTAAGGGGCAGTGAATACTATTGCTGATACACAGCGATTGTAAGGCTGGCCATGGCTTGCCTTTGAGAGGGGCAGCAGTTTTCCTATTTGCAACTTTATATGAAAGAAATCTAGGTAAGGCAAAGGAATGTGATTACCAATGTTGTCACAGTTCTTATCCATAAATTCTACTGAAGGTGTATTTGTGTTCCATGCATGTCACTACAGATTCTTTTAGAGACCTGAATTGACTGAGTCTGTTTGCATGATGAGAGTGAATGTATTGCTCACATGCGGCTATAAGATGAATGAATCCAACTCTACCACAATTCCTTTTCACAGACTTGGCATACAGTAAATTGGCACTTTGTAAAAATCCAAACACTTGGTTGTTTGTTACCTGATTTTTTTTAATCAATAATGTTAATTTTTATTTAGTTCCTTTTTACATTTCATTCCTTTTAAAAACAATTGCATTTTCTTCTGAGTTGTTTCTACCAATGTTTTGTTCTTATGACAGAATATAAGCCTCAGGTTTTAAGAATCTTGTGAAGCAATAACATTGCATTACAAGTCCACAAATTATTTTTACACTGCTTTGGATGTGAGGTACATACTTGAGCTATGCTGTTTTGTAAGTAATTCTTGAAATGAATGCAAAAGTCAGAGGTGTTTACAAGAAGCTGTGATGCCTAAAGAGGACACAGAAATGCTCTAGTATACTTTTCATGTGGTAAGCTGAGCCACATACCTAAGGTGTGGGTCTGGGTTTCTCCTGGGTCCTTGCACAAGGGATCAGGTATCTTTTCATTCTGTTATTGTGAAGTGAAATTCAAAACCTACAAAGGACCCACCTGGTATTCTCTCTTTTGTTTGCCATACCAGTCCTTGATACACTGACTATTCTGGTGTTTACTCCTGCCATTCATAGGGTATTAGCACTGTGGTGTACAGAACCTTACAATATTTGTGATCTCTTAATTACAGCAGTAGGTCATTATCGCAATGCTTGTGATCGTTACCCCAGATCTAGGAGTGATACTATGATTTAGTGACTATTGTATCCTTGCAACACTTTTTCTTTACTATTATCTATGCCAGCAGTTTAGCCAAATTGTACCTGCTTCTGTTATATCAATTACAGTCAGGTCTTTTCCATCCCAAGCATGTGAACTTTGTGTATGATTGAAATATCTGCCTCACAGCCTCTGAGGAAGAGGAGTTGCAGGCTGTTAATCATACAGTTTCTACACTGTATTACCTTTGTCTGCA